AGGCACACAGAAGGTACCTCCTAAACACAGCTCCTTTCTGGGGGTCCAGACAGGGCTGTAACAATGGTAGTCCCTGCCTTGGGCCATCTAGTGTGCCCTGAGTGACTTCAGACCCTCCTGGGAAGGTGAGGGCTGCCCCCCGACCCTTGGACATTTGGTGCAAGTGGTGTGTCTTCTTCCCACTAACCACACAGCCTTGAGTGGCCCTGCACCCAGCCCCAGCTGTGCCACCCACTTCTCTCCTTCTCTCTCTGCCCAGTACCCTCTGCTCATATGCCAGGGTCTTCAGCGTGGGCAATGTGTGAGAGGGTTAAGAACAGGCAGCCACCTCTGGCCCAACTGCCTGCCCTGAGGGACCAACCAGTACAGGGTAAAGGGGAGGGCTAACCCTCGCCCAGCACAGCCGAGAGGGTGTGGGTAGCTCTTGGACAACAGGTCTCAAAGACGCTGGGCACCAAGGTCAAGCCTTTGCCCTGAGGCGAACCCAGGCTGGGTGGAGTTGTCTGAGCTTGGACTCTGCTGACATGCTGCACCTCATTTCACAGGGCTAGGGTGTGCTTCTCTGCGTGCATGAGTGGGCTGCAGGTCCAAGGGGTTAAGTGAGTTGTCCCGGGGTCACACGGCTGGCAAAGCATGGCTCAGGAGGATGGCTGGTGACATTTGCTTGGTTCCCCTTCAGTGGTTCTTTAATCAGATAACTCACAAACACAGCTGAGCCCCAACAACATTGAATAATGAGTTCATTTCAGAGTATATTTAGAATCATCCATGTTGGCAGAAATGGAACCCTAGAAACAATTTGTAAGCCATCTTTATCCACAACCTGCTAGCGTATCCATCATGGCTTACTCTAATCTTGACGCTATCAATGGAGGCTAATGAAGATACTGTTACTAAGGAGCCCGAAATCTGTCACTTGCTTGGCATCTGACACTGTGGATGACCAAGCAGCCCTCCTTTTTAAAAATAAGGATTTGGGCCTGGTGGCGTGGCCTAATGGCTAAAGTCCTCGCCTTGAACGCGCCGGGATCCCATATGGATGCTGGTTCTAATCCCTGCAGCTTCACTTCCCATCCAGCTCCCTGCTTGTGGACCGGGAAAGCAGTCGAGGACAGCCCAAAGCTTTGGGACCCTGCACCCGTGTGGGAGACCCAGAAGAGGTTTCTGGTTCCCGGTTTCGGATCGGAGCAGCACCAGCCGTTGCGCTCTCTTGGGGAGTGAATCATTGGACGGAAGATCTTCCTCTCTGTCTCTCCTCTCTGTGTATCTGACTTTGTAATAAAATAAATAAATAAATCTTTTTTTAAAAAAAAGATTTGTTTTATTTATTTGAGGCAAAGTTGCAGAGGGAGAGTTAACTTCCATCTGTTGGTTCATTCCCAAATGGCCACATTATATTCCCAAATAGCCAGAGCTGAGCCAGTCCAAAGCCATGATCCAGGAGCTTCTTCCACATGGGTGCAGGGGCCCTTGAACTTGAGGCCATCTTCTGCTGATTGTACCCACGCATTGGCAGGGAGCTGGATCAGCAGTGGAGCAGCCGGGGCTCAAGTCGGTGCTGATGTGGAATACAGGAGTTCACAGCTCCCCACCCAGCCCCCCAAGAACGGCTCCTGTGCAAGCACAGCTCCTCAGCCATGGCACAGACAGGACCACCCAAGGATGCCAAATACAGAGCAGAAAGTTTTGTGGTGCCCCGGAGCCTCCGCCTCTGCCACCCACACATCCAAGTCCCTGGCAGGCAGTGTACCCTGGTCAGGACAATCCGTATCCTGTGTGTTTCCACCCCCACCTGCTTTCTGTCCCCACCTGTCAGGTGATGACACAGTGACTCACGGGGGCCGAGCTGCGGGAGGAGTAGCAGACAAGGAGTACCGATTCCAGGGAATATAAAGGACCTGGAGGTCCTTGGAATAGACTTTTGCTGTGCCAGCCTGCACCTGCCCAGCGCCATGGTAATGTGTGGCAGTTCAGGATGGGAGCACTTTCAAGCTGTATCTGCGGGAGGCTTAGGGGTGGCACCACAGGTCCCCCTCCAGACCCATTAAGGGGCAGTGAGCAATGAGACCAGTTCATCTCTGTCGGCCAGGGCTGCCTGTCCCTATTAGGAGTGGTGGGAATGAGGGAGGGTTCCTGATTAAGAGAAAGTTAAAGGGCTCAGGGCCCTGGGGCTGTGTGTCAGGTTCATGTGTCCATCAGGTGCGCCCTGGAGCTCCCTAGCCTGGAAGCTAGTAAGCTATTCACCCACTGTCAGTGAGCACCGACTAAGTGCCTGAGGTACCACATTTGACAAAACAGGGCTCTGAGTCCAGCTGGCACTGGCACTCACTTAGAGGGAGCTGACATGACTGGGAAGTGATCCCGGCGACAGCCAGAATAAAATGCAACGGGAAAACAAGTAGGGCAAGCTGAGAGCTATAAGGTCGGACCCATGTGGAGGGCAGAAATAAGGCAAGCTAGGCAGGCCGGGGATGGGCCAGGAGTTAGCAGGCAGGGGCGAAGGTGGCGCTGGTCAGCGGCTCAGTGCCGCCCTCTGGCGACCGGTCCGTTTCTACCTGGAGCTCCGTGAGAACGGCTGCGTGTATCCAGGTGTGCACCAGTCTCCCTGGGCACCTACTAAGTCCCAGCGCTGGACTGGGCCCTCGGTCCCGAGGACCGCGCACCCCTGCTCACCCAGAGGGTCCCGGGGTGCCCTGACCTCACCTCCCGTGACTGACTGGGCTCTGTCCATTCCGCCCCTGCAGACACCGGCTCGGCGCTGCGCGTGTGCACTAGCCCTGCTGTGCCTGGTGTTGCTCCTGCTGTTCCCGGAGGGCACCCTGGGCGACGGACTGCGCGTGGAGAACACGCCCCGGCACAGAGTGGCCCGGTGGCTGAACCTGGGCCCGCTCAACAAGTACGTGGAGAAGATCTTAAACACCAGGTGGGCCAACGAGGGACGAGAGGGAAGGAGGGAGCAGAGGAAGGGAACGGGTGGGAGATGCTGTGGCTGTCCCCTGGGCGCCTCCGCGCGCCGTGAACGCTGCAGAAACGTATTCTCTAGTTCAAAGAAGTCCAAAACCCCGAAGAAAACGGTTGACACCACGAAATACCCGCCATCGAATTCCACGAAATCCCAACTACCGAATGCCGTGACACCCCGGCCGTCCGCTGCCTCCCAAAGCCCCAGGTAGGAAGGAGCCCCGGACACAGCGACGAGTCAGGGTCCTCAGAGCTGGGGCGCGGACGGGCCCAGGGGAACTGCGGGTTGTGGGAGATAGCAGGGCCCCACGAGACTGTTCTGCAGGCCTGGCCTTGACTTCCGGCTGCCTGTGAGAGGGTTTCAACGGCTCCCCTACGTCTCGGGTGAGAAGAATAAAGAGAAACAGAATCTGTGTGGCTTTGTCAATTTTTGGGGCTGGGGATAGGCAGGGATCCTAAAGAGAGAGAAAAAAATAAGACCTCAGCACCAGGGGTGTCCTGCCTGCCCACATGCTCCCCTACTCTACCTCCCCCCCACACACACATGCATACCACTTGGGAGTGGGGGGCTCTGTCTGCAGAGAGCAGAGGGCACCCCAGGGAGTTGGTAAGAAGGGCTTTAGGGGACAGTGAGACGGCTCAATTAGCTAATCCTCCACCTCTAAGTGCTAAGATCCCATATAGACAGCCATTCATATCCCGGCTAGCTTCCATTTAGCTCGCTGTTTATGGCCTGTATAAACAGTGGAGGATGGCCCAAAGTCTTGGAATCCCACACCCGTGTGGGAGACCCAGAAGAAGCTCCTGGCTCCTGGCTTTGGATCAGCTCAGCTCTGGCTATCACGGCCATTTGGGGAGTGAACCAGCAGATGGAAAATGTCTGCTCCTCTCTGTAAATCTGCCTTTCCAATAAAAATAAATCTTTAACCAACAAAAAAAAAAAAGGAAGAAAGGCTTTGGAGAGACACACATGCAGGTCTGTGCAGAGCACAGACCAGGGCAGCTCTGGTGTATTGGCCCAGGGACAAGCAAGGGAGCCTGTGCCCCTTGGGGAGTGGGACTTGGGAGCCCCTTCGCCTCCCGCTTAGCCGCTCCAGTGCCCAGGAGAGGGGAGGGAAGGGAGCAACTGGGGCCTGTCTCTGACAAATGGGGTGTAAGGATGGTGCCAAGTCAGGGCCAGAGGTCGATCCAGCCATCAGGCCCAAAGTGTGTCCTGCACAGCTTACCGCCCCCATGCCTGACCCTCACCCCTGGTGCCAAGCTGATTTCCCCCACTTCACACGTACCCCAGCCCACCCACTCTGAGAAAGGCCAGGGCAGGCAAGCCCCTGAGGACCCCCTGGGAGCCCTTCTGCAGGGTAGGTCTATGTGGAGCAGAGCTTAAACTTAGATCCCTGTGTGGGCGGTGGGGGAGCGCTGGGCCCCTCTCCTCCCCACTAGGCAGCATGTCCTTCTGTAGCCCTTCCTCCTGGGCCCTGGAGTTTCCTGTTCCCCCCAGACAGTCCTGACCACCTAGATAGCTGGAGAGCAGCTCTGAGACCACACAGCGCCACCGCTGACTACCCTAGCACTGGGGCCACTGCCTTGGGCTGGGCCGTTGCCCACTGCAAGGTCAGTTCAGTGTAAGCAAGTACTATCCCCACTGCCTTGGGGCAGAGAGCAGAGATGGTGGGAACAGAGAAGGCAGCAGGTGCTGGAGCGGGAGGGCTGGAGCTTCACCACCTGCTGGGTGACCTTGAGGAGGCCCTGCCTGCCGCTGGCCCACACTGTGCCGTTCTGTAAGTTCTGTAAGGAGTTGAGCAGGCGCCCGAGTTCTCGCCTCTCCTTCCTCCTCCCTCCTCCTGGTCCACCCTCGTCCTTGTGCACCTGGCCCTTCCTTGCCCCCCAGGAGTCCGCAGAGACAGAGAGAGGTCATGACTTTGAATTGCTTTATTTAGCCTGGGCACGAACAGGGGGCAAGTGTTAGCCAGAGCCGAGGGTGCAGAGGGGAGAGCTGGGCTGGCGGTGCCTGGGGTCTCATAGGAGGCGAGCAAGTGACATCACAGGTCTGTCGGGCCGAGCTCCCTGTGAGGAGAGGCAATAGGAGGGCAGGCCTTGGGCCACTGCTCCCCACCCCCATGGCTTTCCAGCCCTGGTTCTGTCCCCACCCTCATTCCTGCTCCAGATATCAGACTCACCTGAGGCCAGCTGCGTGGGGAGAACCCCAGTCCAAGTCCATGGCGTCCACTCTGTCTCTCTTTCCATACCTGTGGGGGCAGAGGCAGTTGGCACAGGTATCAGCTCACCTGGGTCCCGTCCTACCCACGCCCCACTGGTCCTGGCCTGCTCGGCAGAGGGCAGGCGTGGAAGAGGCAAGGGCCAGGGTTCCCCGCTCCTCACACACACACACCTGGGCCTGGTCAGCATGTTGATGTATCGGCGGAGTTCAGCCGCATACTGGGCCATCTGCTCTGGTGTGGCGTTGTCCCCTGGGTAGACAGGCTCCAGCGGGGCCCCCTGGGCAGCCTGCGGTGGCCGCAGCAACAGAGCCACACAGGTGCACAGGAGCAGCAGGGAGAGGCAGCGGGCTGCAGCCGCCATCTGGGGAACAGGCAGCAGGTGCCATGGAGGCAGAGCAGAGCACAGACCCCTACCCAGGGAAGCAGGGCCTGCCTGCCCGGCCCCTCCGTCCATACTGGGGTCCCTTGGTGCTGACAGCCGCAATAACCCCGGGAGCAGCCCAGCAGCCAGAGCTCAGCCTGGAAGCAAAGGGACCTGAGACACACAGGGCCCTAGGGGCTGGGGTTTGTGTGAAGTGGGGGAAATGAGCTTGGTGTTCCCCCTTTCCCTGGCTGGGGCACCAGAGGTAAGGGCCCTAGAGGCAGCCGTAAGGCAAGGTTGAAAGGAGGGGAGCTGGTGGGAAGCAGGGTACTCCCGTTCACCAGTAAGGAGGGAATAGGGTGACCACGGGAACAAAGGACAGAAGTCCGCGGCTTTGTTGGTCCGCTTCCCCCAGAGGCAGAGGCACAGGGACAGTACTCACTGTCCCTATGGCCCCTGGGCAGGCCAGCGCAGGTACACACACACACACACACACACACACACAGGTTTGTGCAGGTGCATCCCAAGAGGAACCTCAGCCTTCTCCCCCGCTCATGCCCTCTCCCCACTGCAAAGCACCGTTTCCTGCCCTTATCCAGGCCCTAGTCCCAAGGTCCCCAGAGTGCAGCACCAGCTGAGCCCCACTCACCCCAAGTACCACGTGAGAGGAGCAGGTGGGTGCCTCAGGCTGTGCATGTTCCCTGCTGGAGGCCCCTTTATAGTCCTCAGTCCTCCTCACCCCAGAGTCCCCGCCTCCCATCAGCCTCTCGGTCCCCAGCCCTCACCCCCACCTCCTCCGTCTCCGTGGTACCCACAGCACTAGAGCTGGGGCCAGAGAAAAGTGGGAGATAGGGCAGCATTGCGGGTGCGCAACCTGCACTCATGAGGGGTAAACCTGGACCATGATGCAAGCCTCCTGAGAGCCCCGTCCCTGGTGCCCCTTCCCCTTGCGCAGCAGAGCAAGCTGGGTCCAGAAGCACGCTGTTTGGGGACTGCAGGGTCTGTGCTGGCCCATGCTTGCAGGCCTTGGAACATTAGGAATCAATCCAAACCCCAGAATGAAGACTGAGGCTGGGACTCTAGGCCTTCTCCGAGGCAGCTAGAACACAGGTGGGCACAAGGAGGGGACCCCTGGTCTTGGGCCATGAGCAGAGGAGGGGGACCTAGCCTGCCTTTGGTGGGTACAGAGTGAAAGCTGCTGTGCCTGGGGTCAGGGAAAACTGGGGGTGCCCATTTCTGGTGGCCTTTTTGCCTCCTGTCCCCGGATCCCAAATTCCAGGGAAGCAAGTCATACCATTTGTAAAGCTTCAGGTTTTCCCTGGCGTCCATAGTTTAGTGATCTCATCACATTCCTGGAGCCCACGATACAGATTCAGCGGCTGAAATCTGTTCAGAGATGCTGGATCAATGGCCCTAGATCACACAGCTGGCCAGTGGGTCATCAGGGTTGGACACAGAGTCTAACTCCAACACTGTGCTCACACAGGGGCCACCCGTGTGTCACTGTCCTTCGTAGGGCTGCCCAGGCAATGCTGTGTCTCCCGGCCTTGGTGCCGGGTCCTTGAAGCCTAGAGGCAAAGGTGCTTGCTGCTGCTCAGGCCTCGTGTTCTGGCTGGAATTTGCAGCCTTGCTGTTCCCACCCAACCTCCTGCCAGAGCCTGTACAGGACAAGGTGCAGACTTGGCACTTGGGTAGGGCACATGGGACCTCTCAGCCCAGGACTTCTGCTCACCCACATCTGGACAGCAGGGAGTGTCCAGGTGGGGGAGCAGGTAAAATTGAGGACTAGAGGTGATGCAGGGGTTCAGACCAACCTGGGGCCAGATCCCAGCTCTGCCTCTTGCCAGCTGTGTGGGCCTGGGAAGATAATTCTCCCATTGACCTCTCTAAGCTTCGATGTTCCTCTCGGTAAATGGGTTCAATCCTAAGCATCTCAAAGAATCAAGGAAGTTCAGTAAACATCAGTGCTCTGCCTCATTCCTCCCAGTTCTGGTTTTTGCTGACAGGAACCACGATAGTTTACTAGGCAATAGCTTACATTCTGCAAAGAAAACACGAGGGTCGCTGTGTCTCAGCAAGCTAGGCCCTTTACTGGGCTTTCCCAGCTTCCCATAATAAGGGTACTGGACTGATGATGGGCACAGGCAGTTCGGGTGTAGAGGCAACAATGACCCACGAGGGGGCGCCAGCGTCCACTCAGAGCTCCAGCGGGGATGGGAGCCTTGTTTAGGACCACGACCTTGGTGAGGATCTAGTCCTGTTAGGTAATCTGGGGGGTTTATGCAGGTGTGGAGACCGATGGGAGCTCCATCCTGCCGCGGAGGGAAACCAGCTTTGTCAGTGTCTAGGAAATCACGGTATTCCCCCAAGAGTCCATCAGACCTGTAGCTTTGCTTTTTCTCCTATGCAAACTAGTTTCCTTCTTGGGGTATCTCTAGGATGTGGTGGCCAGCAGGGAGAAACAGGTGCTAGTGGACTTCCTGAGCGAGTGGCCACCCAAAGCAGAGCTGTGGGCCTTGAAAAGGCAGCCGTACCCACCTGCAGACAGACTGGATGAGGGCCCGAGTGGGTCCTGCCAGGCCTCCGGGCTGAGCAGCGTTAGGGATGGGTAGGGGAGCAGGAGGAAATGCCAGGGTGAGTCACGGCAGGTACAGGAGCCAAGGGAGAGAGTCGGTTTACAGGACTGCAAAGACAGGAGTTTGGGCAGCACAAAAGCCTCCGCCAACCAGCCCTCCCCACCTCTCCCCACACCCATCCCCCTCGGTCCCTGCCATCCTATCTTCACACATTTGTCTTGGGTCCTAGCAGGCAGCTATGGAGCAGAAGAGGAAGAAGCAAGCACTCTGCAAGGCTGAGTGAGGATATGTTTTTATTAAAGAGAGGGAGAAATGTTTTATTAACAGAGAGAGAGAGAGATTCATTCCAAAGGCAGAGTGACAGTGACAGAGAGAAATCTTCCATCTGTTGGTTCACTCCCCAAATGTCCACAACAATCAAAACTGGGCCTGGCCAAAGACATAAATGAGAAGTTTCATCCAGGTCTCCCACATGGGTGTGGGCACATGGGTGTCATCCGCTGCGCTCCCAGGCGCTTGAGGAGGGAGCTGGGCTGGAAGTGGAGTGGGGTGCTGGCAGATGTGGTTAGTGGCACTGGAGTACAGCGAGCCCCACTGCACCTGAGACTTAGACCCGCAAGCCAGTCTATGGAGAGGGAGGGTGACACGGATAGACGCAGGGAGGGGACATCCTGTCTCAGCCGGAAAGCCACCTGCTCGTGAGGCCTCCAGAGCGGCCCTTGAGAATCCCTACTGCCTGGTGCTTTGTTACGGCAAGCCTAGCAAATTAATACAAGCCCCAGTTAGCCATAATTTTACTATCCTGAGATTTTGGCTACCTGCAGTGAGCCACGGTCATAAACTATGAAATGCAAAGTCCAGAAACAAGTCATTCATTCATACACTTTATATGGTAACCCCTTTTCTTTCTTCGTCAGAAACAGAGAGAGACAATGACCTCCCATCTCCTGCTTCATTTCCCTAATGTCCACACCAAGCAGAACTGAGCCAGGCCCAGTCAACAGCCTCAGACGTGGCCTGTGTCTCCCCCTGGGATGGGAGGGACCCAAGGATGTGAGCCACCACCTGCTCTTTGTCAGGGTAAAGAAGAAGCTGGAATCAGGGACAGAGCCAGAGTCCATCCGGGCATTCTGGCATGGGATGTGGATACCGCAAATGGCATCAAAACCACTGAGCTACATGTCCACCCCACGAAGCCCATGCTGAAGCTGTGTCTAACCCTGAACCGAGTATTTTCCCAGAGTATTCCCAGGTGATGCGACCTACAGGTTTATCTCCTGGAAATCGACTTGGTCTTCAGATCCACTGTCACGGTGCCACGGTGCTTGTGCTCATGTCCCCTTCTCATGGTGGCCTGCAGTGACATTGCAGGAGGGACCGTTCTCTTCTTCCCTCGTCCTGTACCACCATCCATGTCAGCACAGGAAGGGGCACTACAATATTTTGAAAAAAAAAAAAAAAAACAACTACATTTATACAATGGTATCACACTAGATTATACCTCTCTGGTGCTATTGTGACTCATCTCTTTCAGGGACTCACTTGTAAATTAAGTTTTTAAGAGACTTTCTTAAAAAAAGATTTTGTTTTACTTATTGGAAAGACAGGGTGACAGAGGAGAGACCCTCCATCCACTGGTTCATTCCTCAAATGGCTGCAATGGCTGTGGGGCTGTAGTTTCGCAGGTGCGTTAGCAGGGAGCTGAATGGGAAGTGGAACAGCCAGGACTCATATGGGGTGCTGGCTCCACAGCTGATGGCTTTACCAGCTACACCACAGCACTGGCCAACAAGGACCTCTTCTCTCACAGGACAGTACCCTGAATGCCTGCCCTTTCCCTTCCCTGTCACTGGCTGGGACATAGACGTGGCAATGACAACCCAGGCTGGCCTCTGGCCTGCATGAAATGTGAGGAGACCACAGGGCAGAAGCCTGGGACACACTCCTGGAGCAGAGCTGCCACTTCCCCCATGCCACTCGCATTTCACCATTTTATGGAACATCTTGTTCAATCCAATGGTAATTCCACTGATTTGAAAACAATGAGGTTGTGGGCCCAGTGCGGTTACCTAGTGGCTAAATCCTTGCATGCCTGGGATCCCATATGGGTGACAGTTCTAATCCCGGCTGCTCCACTTCCCATCCAGCTCCCTGTTTGTCGCCTGAGAAAGCAGTAGAGGATGGCGCAAGGCCTTGGGACCCTGTATCCATGTGGGAGACCCAGAAGGAGCTCAGCTAAAGCTGTTGCAGTCCCTTGTGGAGTGAACCAGCAATGGAAGATCTTTCTTTCCTTCTCTCTGTAAATCTCCCTTTCCAATAAAAATAAATAAATCTTAAATAAATAAATAAAAATAAAAACAACAGAGTCTGGCCCAGCAGCAGTAGCCTAGTGGCTAAAGTCGTTACCTTGCAAGTACCGGGATCCCATATGGGCACCAGTTTGTGTCCTGACTGCTCCACTTCCACCAGCTCCCTGCCTGTGGCCTGGGAAAGCAATCAAGAATGGCCTAAAAGCCTTGGAACCCTGCATCTACATGGGAGACCCAAAAGAAGCTCCTGGCTTCAGATCAGGTCAGCTTCGGTTGTTGCAGCCACTTGTGGAGTGAACCAGCGAATAGAAGATGTTTCTCTCTGTGTCTGCTGCCTGTAAATCTGACTTTCCAATAAAAATAAATACATTTAAAAAAAATGGGGTGAGTTCTTGGCATAGTGGCTACTTTCACCTTGGGACACTTGCGTCCCATAACGGAGTGGCAGTTTTTGAGTCTGGCTTCTTGCTGTTATTCACCCTGGAAAGTGACAGGTGAAGCTTCAAATACAAGGGTTCCTGCCACCCACGTAGAAGACCAGGATTGAGCTGTGGACATTTGGAAAGCTAGCCAGGAAATGAGAGCTCTGTGTGCAGGTGGAGGGTTGCATGTGTGTCTAACTCTCAAATTAAATAAATAAATAAATAGATAGATATTCTTTTTATTTATTCTCGACTATTCTATTCTCATATTCTAGCAATAGGATGCATGTAAAACACATCACTCAGCCAGTGTCTAGTGTGGAATGAAGTGCTTCACAAACAAGACAGCTGTTGCTGTTGTCAGTGTGATTGACGGCTCTGATCAGTTATGGATTAACCACCTGTCAACACTTCCCGAAAGGGAATTTGAGGTAAACCTGTGTCACCAACAGTCACCCAGGGGGGTCGGGTTTGGCAAGAGTCAGCTGTGGCTGGGCACAGACTGGCAGACGGGACCCAGAGTACCCTGCACCCAGACACGTCCCGCTTCCTCAACAGCAGTGAGCCAAGCTCAAGGCAGCCGCCGTGTCTCCCATCCCACCTGCCCTGGGAGAGAAAATGGGGAGACAATGGGACGGCAGGTGGGATTCACCCAAATGGCAGTCCAGGGGGAGAGGAGAGGCTGACTGCTCCCTAACACACACACTGACACCAGAGGAATTCAGAGTGGCTCTGGGGGTGACCCCTATGCCTAAGGTGTTTCCAGGCTGAAGAGGGGGATGGGGCTGTGGAGGGAGCGGGGGTAGCCTTGGCCCCTGAAGGAGCTGAGAGTGTCTGAGGACTAGAGGCTTACGAGGAGCCAAGAACACCTGGTGTGATGGTTTATCTTGCAGCAACCAAGTCCTAATGCTGTCTCTGCTGCAGGCTCCCTCTGGTTGTAAGTTGTGGAAGCAGGCCCCCCTAGCCCCAAGACTGTCTCTCCTCTTTCCCTTTGTTCAGGTAGGCTATGTGGCTCTTCCCTGTTGGCTTTCTTCAATAATTAACACAGGAAAACCAACCCTAGAAACTTTTAGTTCCAAGGAAGACAGTGATGAACAAAAACTTGCTTATCCTGGCCTTTGTAAGAAGAGCTATGTCATTCTGGCTTTTTGAGATATAAAAGTCTATATGTTTTTAGACAAGAAGCATAGATGATGGCCGCAGTGTTGCTTAATAAAAATCATTCCTCCGTTAAGCATCTTCCTTGTCATTGTCTGTTCCATCAATCCTGACAGTCCCCCAGCACCCTTGACCTTGGACTTTAGCAGGTTACTGGAGAGGAAGTCACGGCTGATGGGGGCAGGGCCCTTCCTCGAGACAGGACTCAGAGACCCGGACAGGTTCATTGATTCTTTTTAAAATTAACTGAACAGCGCCCCCATCCCTTGGCTCAAGCCCGAAGCGCCCACAAAGGCCAGGGCGGCTGGGCCTGTGTCCAGGTAGAGCCGGGACTCCATCTAGGGTTCCCACCTGGGAGGCGGGGAAGTAGCCTACCTGGGTCACCAGAGCGGGAGAAGCAGGAATCGGGGCCGGGAAGAAACGAACTCCCGCCCCTAGGCGGGACGCGCGTGTCTTAGCCATCTTACCCTTGTTCCTTGGTCAGCAGGGAGAGCTGAGCGATGAGGGGGGCAGGGAGAGCACCCATCAGGGCCAACCAAGGGGGGCTTCCTGGAGGAAAGGAGCTGAGCAGGAAGGATCTCAAGGATTTGGAGTGAAACTGAGCAGCCACAGTTCCTTTGGAGCCGGGAAGGGGCGGGACCCGGGACCGCCTTGCGCTCTGGGAGGCGCGCTCAGTGATTGCTCATCGTGGGGGTGGAGCTTGCAGGGGCAGGGCAGCATCCGTACGCTCCGGCTCCTCCCACCCCTACCGAGAGATTTAGGGGTGTCCCGGCAAACGGCCAGTCTCACCCAGCGTGACCCGCCCCCTCACCCACCACCTCCTCCTCCACAGCTCCATCTAGGGTCTGTGTTCACTCCAGCCGGGGTCGCCGTCCTGGGGCCTGACCCCCTTGGCCTTCCAGCGGGCTTCCAGTCTTCCACAGCAGTTCTTGACTTGAGCAATTCTGTCCCCGGCCACTCTCCTACGCTGTCTCCTTGCCACCATCCACCTTGCTCTTCCCAAGAAATTCTCCTGCTGCTCCCTGCCCCTTGTGCGGGAGCGTCCACGCACCCGCAATTCCCACTCTGTCCCCTGACTATGGTTCCTTCCACAGAGGCCCCTGGGGGAAGGGCACAGAGAGACCCCCCCCACACACACACACACTCCCTTATTGGGGCGCCTTTGGCCTCAGGACTCTTCTTTCAGCCCTTGCGTGCCCACCCCTCCACTCACATCGGACGCCATTCCAAGATAGCATACATAAAAGAAGTACAAACAAATCCTGTACGGTTCTGTGAAATTTGCTCTTTATTGTGGGATGGGGGAAGGGCCACACGCAGCCCCCCAATCCAGGGGACAGGGACACGGAGAAATGGGCAGAGGGTCCCCTCCCCACCCCGCTCCCAACGTGCAGCAGGCGGGAAAAGATCCAGGTTCCAGGGTCGGCAGCAAATATGCAAGAGACGCAGGTGTAGTTAGCAAGTCTCCCGGGAGGCCTCGGCGATCATCACCACGGGTAGGCACCTTCTGACCTGCAGGAGGAAAAGAGAAACAATCAGATCTGGAGAGGTGCCACGCGGAGGCTCCGTGGGGCAGCAGGACTGGACCACGTTACAGGGGCAGTGGGCGCGGCGGGCAGTGCGTTCCTACCGCGATCTGACCCCACGATCCTCGCCATCGGGGAACAGCAGTTTGGACAGAAGCGCTTCCGAGCTCTCGCGTTTCCCATACCTGGAGGGCGGGGTCGCGGTGGGGGTGCGTTAAGCAGGCACGGTCTCGCCCCTGGATGGACCAGGACCGAGGGCGAGGCACCATGGAGCCCCAGTCGCCCGCCCCGGGCGCCTTACTCACCTTTGCCGGGTGACCAGGTTGAGGTAGTGACGCAGGGAAGCATAGTAGCGGCTCAGTTCCTCGGGGGACGCGTCTTCGCCTGGAGCTTCTGGCTTGGAAGGGTAGGCGTCCACCAGCGCCCCAAGGCAGGCGAGCAGGACCAGCAGCACTGCGGCCAGGGCAGGCCACGGCCTACGCACCGTTACCATCTGGGAAAGGGGACATTGGCGCGGGCGGCCTGTTGAGTCCCGGTCCCCAGTGCTGGCGGGCTGCAAGGGCACCTGGAGCTGGTGCTGGACCAGACTCACACCAGTGCGCTGGGTGTTCTCGGATCCCGCCCTGCCTCCGTTTCCCCCATCTATTTGAGGTACCCTAGCCTTGCCTGCCTCCACAGCCCCACGCCCAGACAGGCTGCGGACCTCGGCCCCCTTCCAGTCCAGCTTCCCATCACACAGCCTCAGTTTCTCCCATCAAATAGCCCGGGGTGAGCCCCAGTCCCACTCACAGCGGCAGCTTGGGAAGCGAGATGCACAGCAGGTGGAAAGCGAGAGGGAGTCCCAAGGGCTGTACTGCGGCCTCCTCTGTGCCTCCTCTCCCTGCTTTTCCTCCGCAGGGGCTTATATCCCCAGCCTGGAAAAGGGAGGGGGAGGCCGAGGGGGAGGGGGAGCCAGCAGGGAAGGCCCTGTCTCCTCCTCCTCCTCCTTCCTCCCCTCCCTCCCTCTACCCGTGTTCAGCCCCGCCCGTGTTGATGTCTCCACCTGGCAGGGGCCGAGGACAGCCAGCCTGTTTAGACTCAGGGTCCCGCGGGATGGGGTGCCCCGTGAGCACCCGGCCTGAGGACGCGTGGCAGCCCCTAATCCTAGGGAGGATTCGCCCAGCCTGTCCCTGCCAGGACCCTTCCAGACAGCCCTCCTCAGCCTCTTCTTAGCTTCACTGTGGAGAAGGCAGAGGGGTGGCTGGCCCTGGAAGGAAAGTCTCTTTCTACTAAAGGCAAGACTGGGAGCCTGTGACCTCAGCTCTGACCTGCTGGGTGTGATGTCCTAGGGCCTCTTTGGATACTCCATCAGACTTTCTCTTCATGGAAAATTTGGTGAGAGAAGCAGATGTAGGTTTGTTCATCAGAAGCAGCGGTGTGGGTACCTGTGCATCCAGACTGGCACATACAGACTGGGCATGGTCCAGCCAGACCTGGTACAGAGTCCCCTCCCACCTGCCCCCTCCCCTTGGTCAGGTGTGATTGAGGGCATGGTGCCTCCTGGGGCTGCCCACTGGTTACTGGGCTGAAACCCTCAGAGCCCTTGGCCAAGAGGAAGGGGGTGGTGTTTGTTAAGCACATGCTATGCCCTGGGTCTTGTGTCTTTGCAGACCTAAACTGAGCTGAGTCTGCCCGAATTTTACAGAGGACTGGAGCTCTGACAGTAGCCAAGGCTGCCGGCCATTCCAGCAGCAAAGAGGGTGACGGCATGGTGCTGGGGACTCTAGGAACAGCCCCGTTAATCCTAAGGGCCATGGAGGCTCGGCACCTTGACATAGCCATGGTACTCAGGAGCCAGACGCGGGAGCAGCGGACAGGAGGCCGCCAGCACCCCAGGTTTCCAGTCCTACCAGAACAGCTGCTCCAGGAAGAGAGGGGGAGGTCAGGGGCTTCGCCATGAAGCCCTTCCAGCCCCATCTCCCCACTGGCAGGAGGGGCCAGCCTGCCCGGTCCTAGGCCGGCCCTTCCACCCTGCAGGACAGATGGCTGTGGGTCTATTTTTAGAGCTCTCAGTGGTGGAGAGTCCAGGGCCCCTTTTTATGGGCTCGGTCACCTGCACCCTCCGGAAACGGCTCCCCGTCAGCCAGGCAGGCTCCATGGGCCTTGCACCTCCCAAGAAACTTGGTGGGGGCCTCTCATGGAGTGTGAAGGACAAAGAAGACACCAGGAGAAGGGGTCATGCCCCTTCCTCGGAGGGCGGGGGGAAGTCATGGTTCTAGGATGTTCTAGGTGATGGTCGTGGCTATGTCTGTGGGGCTCCCCTTTGTGGGGTGAAGGACACAACAGCATTGGGGTGCTCCAGTGTCCCTGAGAAGAGGCATTCCCTGGGTACAGAGTGGAAACAAGCCTGGATAGGGCTGTCCCAGGGTAGGGATGCCTGGTTCACTCAGGCCAGCAGCACTAGCCAGGGTGGGGATAGGGGGCTGTAATGTGCAGTCCTCTCCTAGCAGGGAGTTGGAGTCCCTAGATACTGCAGGGGGCAGACCTCCCAGGACCCTTCAAGCCCCAGGGGGCCTGAGGCTGAGGGGAGAAATCATGGAGCAGGAGGAAGGCCTGGAGGAACCTCTTTCTCATAGATGTTGCAGCCCAAGTCTGCGGGACCCAGGGCCCCCATGGAGTGGAGCAGGAACCGCCCATCCATCACACTCCCTCCCCCCTTCAGTTCTGTTCTCCAATTACAGGGCAAGCTGATTGGCTCATTAATCACCACCTCCTGATAAAAGACTTGATAAACTTGTTGATCACGGAGAGACATCTCAGGCCTCGATCGATGGACTCGGACTGCTCCCTTCCACCCACGGGCCCACCACCATCAGTGACGTGTGACTCAGTTGCAGTGAGACATGTTTGGGTCCGCTGGTGGAGAGAGGGGAGACCCCAGAGACAGCTCTTATCACAGACTGCACACCAAGGCCCACCTCCAGCTTGTCCCTAACCAGGGTCCCTGTGAATCCCTTAGACACTGTTTAGAGGGCCTAGCAAGGCCACCACAGGTCAGGCTGGCCATGAACTTGGACAGGCATTGGTCATTCCTTTTGCCCAGTTTTAGGGCTGCTTATATTTAGGATGTCCTGAGCTAGTATGATAATGCAGCAAGTTAAGTGGCTGCCTGTGACCATATTAGAAAGCTGGCTGTTCCACTTCAGATCCAGTTCCTTACTAATGCACCTGGGAGAGCAGGAGAAGATGGCCCAAGTATCTGGACCCCTGCACCCATGTGGGAGACCCGGAAGAAGCTCCTGAAACCCAGCTTTTAAAAAAAAAAAGAAACCCAGCTTTGAACCAGCCCAGATCTGGCTGCTGCATCTATCTAGGCAGTAAGTCAGCATATCAAAGATTCTTTCTCTTTCTCTCTCTGTAATTCTGATTTTCAAGTAAAATAAACTAATATTTTAAAATAAATGAGAATGGCTGGGTCTGGCGTGGTGGGCTAGTGACTAAAGCCCTTGCCTCTAACGCACCAGGATCCCATGTGGGCACTGGTTCTAATCCCGGCAGCCCCGCTTCCCATCCAGCTCCCTGCTTGTGGCCTGGGAAAGCAGTCGAGGACGGCCCAAGGTCTTGGAACCCTGCACCTGTGTGGGAGACCCAGAAAAATCTCCTGGATCCTGGCTTCAGATTGGCTCAGCTTCAGCTGTTGCTGCTTGGGGAGTGAATCAGCAGACAGAACATCCTCCTCTCTGTATAAATGAAAATGATGTCTGATGAGAAGTATTATGGGGGGCAGAATCAGGGAAAGGCACAGAATGCAAAGGTGTGGGGGACTTGGCTGGACTATTAGAGAAGGACTCACCTGTAAGGTGACATTTGAAGGAAACAAGCCATGAGGTCACCTTGGGAAGATTGTTGCAGCCAGGAGCGAGAACCCGTGCAAAGGCCCCAGTGTAGGAGCATACTTGGCAGTTTAAGGAATAACAAGGAGGCCCATGTGACTGCAGGGGCATAGAGTGAATGATGGAGAAGGCTAGAAGGAGATGCAAGAGATTAGTGCAGGGAGGCAGTAGGTTGATCATGGCTGCTGTCAGGGTTTTGGCTTCTGCTAAGAATGAGAGGAGAGCTTCAGCTGCAGACATGGCTCAGGTTGTAAGGAAGGTGCTGCACCCTTCTGTCTTGTCACCCAGACTGTGTGATTCCAGAATGTGCATCTGCTCATACCCTTGTCCCAGCCCATATACACAGGGGGTGGGTTGGGAGCTGGGGCGAGGGCAAGCAGACAGCAAGTTAAGTGGCTGTTCAGGGCATCACTAGGAAGTTGAGCACCTCACTTCTGCTCCTATCCAATGCCTAGAACTTAGTCACATGGCGGTGCCCAGTCACAAGGAGAGCTGGGTGTAGGGTTCCCAGCTACAAGGCATGGCCCCCAGAGAAGCTTCTGTGGATTCTGCTACAGAAATAAGGAAGAGAATTATCTATGCCTATGTGGAGCTAGTGTTGTGAAGCTGCAACTTAAGTTGTCTCTTGCTTATAACACTGGCATCCTATTTCTGAGCACCAATTTTAGTCCCAGGTGCTCTGCTTCTCATCCAGCTCCCTGCTAATGCACCCAGGAAAGCAGCAGCAGATGGCCCAAGGGCTTAGCTCCTGGCTTCAACCTGGAGCAGCCCTACTCATTGCTGTCATTTACAGAGTGAACCAGTAAATGGAAGATCTCTCTCTAACACTGCCTTTCAAATAGCTCTGGGAGGTGGGGGTTGATTTGAGAGGCTCTACCACAGAACATGAGAATACATTCATTTTTTATTTATTTCAGAGCTTTTCCATCTGTTGCTTCACTCTCTATGAGCCTGTATTGGCTGGGGCTGGGTGGAAGCCAGTAGTCAGAGGTGAACTCAACCCAGGTCTCCCACGTGACCGGCAGGAACCCAGTGACTTGAGCCGTCACTGTGCTCTCCCGATTGAGTGCAGGACAGGCAGTTAGCTCCAGGAGCTGGAACTAGGCACTCAGGAGTGGGGTGGGGTGGGGTAGCTTTCCAGCTGGCGTCCATACCTGCTCCAGAAGCAGTCCTCTTTGAAAAGCAAGTATAGGGGGACACTATGGGATACGCCACAACAGCCTCAGTGACTGGCCTGGGGCTGGAGTCTGGGGGTAAGCCCTGACACTGGCTGCCATGCTCCATCTTACTGAATCTGAGACTGAACTCTGCAGGAGGGCTGGCGTACAAGGTGTGCAGTGCTTGCCCTCATCCTCCTGTGCCTAGGACAGCTCCGCAACCCAGGGCTAGCTCAGGGCTCTGCGGGAGCTGAGGCAACCAGGGAAGTCACACTCTCATGCCCTCCCACCACCGCCAGAGCCAGTAGCCTTCCTATCTCTGTTCTTCCACTGGCCTATGCACCTGTGTGGCCTCTCTCTCTCTCTCTCCTGTCCAAGTTTGGAGCCCTTACCCGCCTTACCTGGTCTCTCTCTATCTCCCCGGCCCAGGCTCATCCTGGCAGCCAGCCTGTTCCCACAAGTGA